TTCGAGTTTTTTTTTGTCCTTAAGTTGGTAGGAAGAGCACAAACCTAAAGGAACAGAGACAGAATTCCTGTGCCCTATTTAGAGAGCCCTGCTTAGTATGATCTTTGTTAATTTTCATCCTGTTCCATTATTGGGATCCTTTCAAACAGCAGTTGTGAAATCTTCCTTTTTGTTTCAACACACAAAGTGATCTTTCTCATTCATACAAAATAATTCCTAGATTAAATAATTGGCAAAGCCATGGAGTCAACAATTAAGTTCTAAGAAATAACTCAGTCTTATTCTTCCTCAGCACCAAAGTATCAGCTTGATGACAATGTAAAAAGAATCATCAGGATGATGGGGCTCAGTGAATGAAGAACATTGTCTGTAAATACTTTGTTTCTCTTGGATTCTCTATCTACAGCTCTATGGCCATCTCCTTGGGCCATATTCCTTTGGTTGTACTCTGATCTACTCTACTTCCAAGTGTATTTCCTGCTTTAATGACTTTCTTGTGAACTCCAGAGTACTGCTATAATTAAACTCGATCACATTCAAAATTCTTGACTCAGAGGACTGACAATAAGGGACGTATATAGAAAATGTTGTTGTTGTTGTTGTTATGTGCCGTCAAGTCAAACCCGACTCATAGCGACCCCTCCTTGGGTTTCCAAGGCAGTATCACTATGGAAGTAGGATTGCCCAACCTTCCTTCCGAGGAGTAGCTGGTGGGTTTGAACTGCCAGCCATCTGGTTAGCAGGCAAGTGTCTTAGCCACTATGCTACCAGAGCTCCCCATATAGAAAATAGTCTGAGGTTATTAATTCTACTACATAATGAATCTTTTAATTTATTTAAATGCTGCCAATAGACTTCCAATGCAGAAGGGCCTCCCCTGTTCCTAGATTTTGGATTCTTCATCTGCCAAATTCACATGAAGACACGAGCAAAGAAGGAGGAAATTCTTTGTGTGATTGACATTTTTCCAAGAGCATCTCCCCCCCCCCCCCGTTAAATGCTCCATGCCCTTTAAGGATTTTGAAAGACAACATGTACACTCCCTATCTCCCCAGCACAGCATCCAACAGCCTAGACAGGGTACGGTGGTCTTTCTTCCCTCCAAGAGAGCCAGAAACAAATTTGCTTACTTCAGCAGACTCAGAGAGAGGCAAAAGTGTATGCATTTGAGGGGCAGGGCTGCTCCATACTTGAACAGCCAGCCTCAGGGGATGTGTTCTCCCTGTGAAGCCAGCTAAGGGCAAGTGAGCCTTTTCTCACTCGCCAGAGATCTGAAATGAAGACTGGTGGAACCCTTCCAGACAGAGGTCACTTAATTAACCCAGCCTGCATCATCCTGATAACAAGGTCAAGTACTTCTCACTGAGAGGAATTTTCAAATTATTTCACAGACAAGAAAGCTCAAGTCAAGCCAACATCTCTGCTCCCCTGGGAATGCTGTCAGAGGCAGCAAGGGAGGAGAGCCAAGAACCCTTTGCCTGGGCCTGGCCCTTGCATTCTTCAGGGCCCATTGCCTGGGATCCCACTGCTCCCTGTGGTGGGGGTTCTGTGCTTTCTCTTTACAAGAAAGGGGCCGGACCATTAAGAGAGGGGCAAGGCAAGCCATTCCCAACACCTAAGACTCAACAGTGCAACCTTCCTAGGAGGCAGTTCCTTTCTGTGTTTTGATTTTACTTTGCATTTTTCTTAAATGTCTAGTCCATTGGGGCTCTTACTGAACTATTAGGGGAGAGACCCTGTCTTCTGGATGGGGTGACAAATTAAGTGGAAGCTGGGGCTTCTGTGGCCATCTTTGGTCTCCTGTGTTGGCTTTATTCTCAGGCATACTTCCCATGTGGTAACAAAGAAAAGAGAAGGAATGACAGAGAGAGGGACAAAGAAGAGCAGGGGGTAATTTGGTCACACTTTTGAGTGGCTCTCAATTAATCCATGCTTGAACTGTATTCCAGGACCTTCCCACTTAAATGAGCTCATAAATTTACTGTATTTTTTTTTTCTTTAAACGTGTTTGAACTGGGTTTCTGTCAACTGCATTCCCAAAACCAAACTCACTGCCATCGAGTCAATTCCGATTCATAGCGAACCCTGTTTACAGAAACAGACTGCCTCGTCTTTTCAGAAACAAACTGCCTCATCTTTCTTCCACAGAGCGGCTAGTGGATTCAGACCATGAATTTGGTTAGCAGCCAAATGCCTTAACCACTAAAAATACAAGCACACACATACAACCCTCAAAACAAAAACTTTAATGTTATTCATGGTGCAACAACCTTGGTGTTCTTAGACACAGATACAAAGTGGTGTCCAACTCTGTCATCAGCGTGGCACAGCAGAAAGGCTTGAAAGTTAGTTGCAGAAACAGAATAAGAACCTGATTCTCCTAATGAGTTGTGTTAGCCCAGGCAGGTCACTCCTCCATGCTGGGGTCTGAATTTTTTCACTTTAAAATCAATCAGTCAGAGAGAAGCATGGGAAGGACTTCTACTGGATGGAAAATTACAGGTTTCCAAGGGGAAATCCCTATTTCCTAGACACTCCACTTGTGGCTTGGCTTTTATCAGTGGATTTCATGATTGTGCTTTTCAGTTAGAGCATTAATTTTATCTATAACTAAGATATGAATTTCTTAGGCACTTGCTTTAGCTCTTGTTTCATTACTGTGTTTATTTTGGTTTGAGTCCTACAATCGGTAGATACATTTCAATCTCCTTTGGTAGCATTATGATCTAATTTGGTATTTTGTTTTGCTTTAATGCAAATGAATGGCAGGATAACTTAGGTGGGCTCATCCTTATTCTAGGTCACAGTCATTCATACATGCCCTTTCTTTTTCTAACTGTCCTTCTCTTCTCTATTTTGTACATTTCATTCATTATTTTTCCTTAGCCCCAACATTTTCTCTCTGTCAATACATGACCTTGACTATAACAGTCTATTTAAGAAGTCCATTTTTTTTCCAATTTCCAAATCTTCTCTTCCTATAATAAAATAATCATAAATCATCATAATAATCACCATCATCATCTATTAACCATTTACAGAACATCTACTATAGGCCGGTACTTTGGTGTATCATTGCTTTAATCTCCCGAAATACCCTATCTGATAACATTATAGATGTATGACTTTGGGTAAATTATTCATCTTTTCTGGTCTTCACTTTCTTCATCTGTAAAATAGAAGCAATGAATAGCACAGCTGAATCTGGAATCCTCATCTATATTTCTCCAAACCTGTGCTCTTTCTATTGTTATGGCTTGAGTCCTTTCATGTATGCTAGACTAAGTCCCATAGTCTTCAAAAAGCCAGTGCCTTTAGATGTTTGATTAAATGGTTCATCAATGGCTGCTACTGGGCTGTTAGAGGACAATCACCCAGCTGTTTGAGTAGGCCTTTGAAGGAGGCACCCAGGAGAGACAGAAAAGAAAGGGAAACAAGTCTAGAGAGAATAACAATCAGAGGCAAGATACATCCCTTCACAATCAATCAAAAGTTTCATAAAGCAGACCCTCTCAATTCCTCATCTTCCCTCAAAGAAGCATCTAGAAAACATCACAGTTTTAGAGAACAATGGAAAACATGCTAAATAAAAATGCACAGATGATATAATGCCTAGGAAAGTAACAGGTTCCAAATTCATACTCTCATCCATACTTGAAAGGATTATAATGTAGATTTCATTGGAAAAGTCAATAAGATTTTCAGAGGAGCAATGACTGTAAATGTTCATAACCAAAGGCCTGATATAAGGGTCTACTTCTCCTCTGGGTCCTCAGCAGTGCTGTGATAAGATATAACCCATTTTTCTCCTGCTAAATTGCAGGTACAGATAATAATTTGTAGACAATAATAGTAAGCTGAGTGCCAAGGGTGAGCAAGGTCAGATGCAAATCTAATGGGTTACCTGCTGCCTGCCCTTCAATTGCAGTTCACTAGGAAATAGGGTTCAACAGGGCTTTCCTTGACAGATCTGTTCTTCATTATTTGCACACAGGGAAAATTACAGAGGTGAATCTTCTGCCAAGTGAGAAAGTGGCAGTTGAAAGGGAGGTATGTGCTAGAAGGTGGGCCACGGTGTAATTTGGGTTCTTGTTAATAAGGTTTTTATAGGAGTTCTAAAACCATCTTGGAAGACTAAAGATCATGGGAATAGATTATGGGTTTATTCAAAGTAAACTGAAAAGCTCTCAGTACTGGAGGGGAAAAAGCCAATATTTATTTAGTGGCTGAGAGGAATCCTAGTTTTAATTTATCTACCTGGAAGAATTCAGAAACTTGAATTATGGGGTTTCTACCAGGGCAACCAGGCCAAGACCAATCATTTTAACTGAATGAACATGGGAGAAGAAGAACAAGAATAATATATTAATCCCTACTACAGAGATGAAGTCTTCGGAAGTTAAAAGAAGGAGGAAGAAAAAGACTAAAGGTGCCAGGAGAGGGAGAAACACACAGATGTGCACACACACACACACACTTTCTCTAATATCCCAGAAGACGGTGGAGAGCACAGTACGGGTACTCTGAAGTCAGTACTTACTATCAACCAAATCAGGCCATCTTAGTATGGTGGTGATGAAAGGATTAATTGTTTGTATAAAATGTATACCTTTCCAAAAATAGAACATGATCCTGTCATTTGATTCTCACGGCATTCTTGTGATGGAAGTCCTTGTGATGTTGTGATGATGCCCTTGTCCTGGGTTTGTTCTCTGTGTACTGAGCAACTATCTTGGGACAGTTTTTCAGGTTAGCACTCACAGATATATCTAAGTCAATATAAACATTGACAAGTAATCCATACTGTGGATATACTGATTAATTTAGTCATTCTCCATAACACATCCTCTTGTATGTGTTTCTTTGTAAGGCTATAGTTAGGATCACCACTTTATAAGTAAAAAACTAAGGACCAGAAAGTCAAAGACCTGACAAACAGCTAGTGTCCTCCCTCTTGACCCAGATCCCAGAGAGACCCCTCCAAGCTGCTGAGGACTCACCTGCTCCAAGTCCTCGGCCGACCTTTTGCTTTCTCCTGCCGGGTCCTGATATGGTAAGACAAAGACCTCCGCAGCAGTGGGCAGACCAGGAAGCACTGCCACCAAGATGTGCTGGTCTGGGACCCCTGTCGCCTGGGGAGAGACAAAAAGGCTCATGTAAGTCCTGAAGGCATGAAAGCCAAGTGGGGATCAGGATGGTGAGAAGGGACCAGGTATTTGGCAGAGAGGCAGGGAATGCAAGGAAGGAAGGCTGGGAGGAGGTGAAAGTACCCTGTGCACAGTGGCAGGAAAGTGTTGCCAGAGGCAGCAACAGGGCTGGAGTGTGGCTCTGGAGTCAGATGCTGAAGTTCATCTCCAGCTTCACCACCATGAGACCTTCTGCAAGTTGTTTCTCTCTGTGTGTACATTCCCTCAAATTAAAAAACCAGGGATTACAAGAGTCCTTGGCTCTTAAAAGGGTAGCTTTGGGATTTAAATGATTTATAATGAAACTTTTATAAAGCTCTCAGTACTGGAGGGGGAAAAGCCAGTATTTATTTAGTGGTTGAGAGGAATCCTATTTTTAATTTACCTACCTGGAAGAATTCAGAAACTTGAATTATGGGGTCTCTACCAGGGCAACCAGGCCAAGACCAATCATTTTAACTGAATGAACATGGGATGAGAAGAACAAGAATAACATATTAATCCCTACTACAGAGATGGAGTCCTCTGAAGTTAAAAGGAGGAGGAAAAATCAAGAGGAACTCCTGATTTCTTTGCAGTATTAACCCTGATGACCACGCCCTGTTTTATGAAGCACTCTAAGCTCTTCATTTTGCTATGCCGACTCTCCTGGTTGCCTTCCCACCTCTCAGACTGCTATACCTCTGTCCCTTTGTCCAATCCCTTTCACTTAAAATATACATGTCACTCAAATACATTCACCTTGTCTTTGTTCACCTCTTCTCTCTCAAGGTGTCCCCTGAGGCCTATTTCTAGGTGATTCTAGGATCATTAAATATCATTTCAACTTCTTTCTTAAGTGGCCAGTTAGGCTTTGCCACTTGGTTGTTTCACCAGGACTTCCAACAAACATGTCAAAATTCCAAAGAAATAAAAATTTCTTATTTTAACACCAAAAACCTTCATTCTACATTTGGGTGAGCACAGGTTGTCCTTTCTAAGTCACCCCAGCTTGAAGCCTTCTCTTCATCTCTGGGGTCACACTCTTTTTTTCCTTGCCATTTCTAATCAGTTTCTAAGATCTTGATGAGGTGACAGCCACATTAATCATTCTATTAGTTCTTGTTTAAATAACCACTGTTAATATTTCAATTCTGCTGTTGTCCTTCTTCCCAGTGGTATTACAATATCCTTCTCATTTTCAGGAGACATGCTACTACTTCCAGGTTTATCTGTCTACAGTTCAACTCAGATCATGTTTTCCTGTTCAAAATTCTTGCAATATTTCCCCTTTACTAAATTAAAAAAAATATATATTCATGGCTTTCTGCAATATGATCCCACCCATTCTCTCTAGTCTAATTATACAAAACTCACACAGGGATCCTATGTTCCAGCCAAATACACTAATACACAATTCCAACCTTGTCCTACAAATTATTTTGTGCATGTCATCTCTACCCAGAATATTTCCCCCCCTCTATTTGTTGATGGAAACCTACTTATACTTTGAGTTTTCTTCAAGTCCAAAAAAACCAAACTCACTGCCACTGAGTCAGAGTCGACTCATAGTGACCTCTCCTTGGGTTTCAGAGGCAGTATCACTGTAGAAGTAGATTGCCCAACCTTCCTTCCAAGGAGTGGCTGGTGAGTTTGAACCACCAGTCTTCTGCTTAGTGGTCAAATGCCTTAGGCACTACATTTCTTAAAGTATATTTCAGTAAATTGTTCTTAATTCCCTAAGTGTTTGTCTCTGAATTCCACCAGATGTTGTCCTTTTTAGTTGCAGGAGGAGCTAGAGGCAGTAAACTATCATTCACTTAAGAAAGAGTATCTTGACATGCCCCATACTACTGGACTTCTAGAAATTTCACTGAAGTAGAAGGCACCTGTACTTTTGTTGGATCAATTCCCTCCCTCTAAAATGCTGAAAGAGCTGCAAACATTCATTATTAATCAGAATGAATATAATGAGTGGGATGAATGAAGTCTGAATCTAGGAAAACTGAAAACCACCAAAAATGAAATGGAATACATAAAAAATCCAAATCAAAGGCATTGGAGAGCTGAAATGGACTGATATTGGCCATTTTGAATTGGACAATCATATAGTCTACTATGCCAGGAATGACAAATGGAAGAGAAATAGCATGGCAATGATCGTCAAAAAGAACATTTCAAGATCTATTACAAAGTACAACGTTATCAGTGATGAGTTAATATTCATACAACTACAAGACCAGTTTATTCGACCATTATTCAAATTTTCACACCAAACACTAATGTCAAGATAAAGAAATTGAAGATTTTTACAAATTTCGGCAGTCTGAAATTGATCAAACATGCAATCAAGACATATTGAAAATTACTGGTGATTGGAATGTAAAAGCTGGAAACAAAGAAGTACTTGGAAAACACAGCCTTAGTGATAGAAATGATGCCAAAAATCACATGACAGAATTTTGGAAGACAAACGACTTATTTATTGGAAATAGTTTTTTTTTTTCAACAACATAAATGGTGACTATACATGTGGCCCTCATTGGATAGGATATGCATGCATCAGCTCGACCATGTCTGTAGAAAGAGACAATGGAGAAGCTCAATATCATCAGCCAGAACAAAGTGAGGGGCCTGCTACAGAACAGACCAACAATTGCTCATATGCAAGTTAAAGTTGAAGCTCAACAAAATTAGAAGTAGTCCATGGGAGTCAAAGTACTACCTTGAGTACAGCTCACCTGAATTTAGAGATCACCTGAAGAACAGATTTGACACATTGAGCACTAATGATCTAAGATCAGATGAGGTGTATAATGATATTAAAGGGTCATTAAAATAAACAAAAGAAAGAAAAGACCAAAATGAATGTCAAAAGAGACTCTGAAACTTGTTCATGAATGTAGAATAGCTAAAATTAATGGAAGAAACAATGAAGTAAAAGACTTGAACAGAAGATTTCAAAATCTGACTTGAGAAGGTAGAGTAAGGTATCATAATGAAATGTGAAAGGACCAGGAGTTAGAAAATCAAAAGGGAAGGACATGCTCAGAATTTCTCATGCAGAAAGAGCCGAAGGGGGTGGAAAAAAAAAAAGCTTTGAGTTGCAATACTGAAAGATTCTATGGGCCAAATACTGGACAAAGCAGGAGGCATCGAAAGAAGATGGAAGGAATACACAGAGTCACTGTACCAACTAAAATTGGTTGACATTCAACCATTTCCAGAAGTAATATATGAGAAAGAACAGCTGGGATTGGAGGAAGCAAATGAAGACACTGACAAAAAACAAGGCCTCAGAAACTGATGGGATAACAATTAAGAGGTTTCAACAACAGATGCAACTCTGCAAATGCTCACTTATCTATGCCAAAAAATGTGGAATACAGCTACCTAGCCAATTGCCTGGAAGAAACCCATATGTACACCCATTTCAAAGAAAGATAAACCAATAGAATGCAGCAATTATCGAACAATATCATTTGTCTTAGCCACTATGCTACCAGAGCTCCCATTAATATCACAAGCAAGTAAAATTTTATTGAAGATAATTCAAAAACAGTACATCAGTAGGAAATTGCCAGAAATTCATACTATACTCCAAAGAGAATGTGGAATAACAGATACCACTGCTGATGTCAGATGGATCTTGAGTGAAAGCAGAGAATACTCAAAAGATGTTTATCTGTGTTTCACTGACTACACAAAAGCATTTGATTGTGTGGATCATAAAAACTATGGATTTGTGAAGAATGGGATTTCCAGGACATTTAATTTTGCTTATGTGGAATGTGTACATAGACCAAAGACAGTCAATCTAACAGAGCAAGGAGGCACTGTGTGGATTAAAATCAGGAAAGATATGCATCAAGGTTGCACACATCGAGTAAATATTTAGTAGTTTCCCATATATTTTACTCCTAGGGACATCATAACTAAGTAGCCAACACTGTAAGTTCATATAAGTCAGACTATTTTGATTCCTTCTTTGACTCCACTAGGAGCTCTGGTGGCATAGTGCCAAAGTCTTTCATTGCTAACCAGAAGGCTGGTGGTTCAAATTCACCAGCCACTCCTCAAAATGGATAGTGAACAATCTACTTTGGTAGAGATACTTCCTTGGAAACCCAAGGAGGGGTCACTATGAGTCAGAACCAACTCAACAGCAGTGAGTTTGTTTTTTTGCCTCCACTATCCATTATGGTAGCCATGCTCATCTTGTCTTTGGCAATTAAATGCTGTGAATTTGTCCCTACCACCATGAGGTCCAATTCAACCCATGGCAGATAGGTGTTTTACTTAATTCAGTTACAGGTCTGTGAGTCTAAACTAATAAATCTACTCTAATCTGTTAATTTCCCTAAATCTTTGGATATCTTCTATAGTATACCAAGGCAGGACTGGTACTTCAGTTTGGTTCAGTGTAGGCCATCCTGAGACTTAGGTCTAGAAGCAAAAATGGGTTATGGGGATGGATTGAGAGAACATTCAGCAATGTCTTGTGAGACGTCTGTTTCAAGCGATACCCCAGGTAATATCTCAGAAAAAGACTCCTCAGGCACAGCTGGGTTAATCTCATCAGAAGTAGAAAAAGGGTGGTTCTGTTGGCAGGGGTGATTCAATGGAATCTAGGGGCTCAATTTCTGCAGCTGCCGGACTGTCTACCATCTGTCCCCTTCTCAAGTTTCAGGATCCCATATCCTCCCAATAAATGCCCTTACTTTAACTCTAGAAATAATTCAAGGCTTGGAATTCAATTGGTGCAGTAATTCAGCCACTCTTATGATAAGACTCTGGGATTGTTTTTTGGCAATATCAGCTCTGTTACTACAAGAACTAAGGCTTTCTTTCAGGGTACAAGTGGCAACTTTCAGATCTTTTGTGTGGCACTTGAACTGCGAAGCCCTGAGTTCATCTCTTTCTTTTACCAATTAATCTAGCGAAAGTAGGATCAACCAACTATACTTCTCACTCTGACAAAATTTTAGAAAAGTATCAAACATATGATTACCCAGAGCCTTGCTTCTCACCAATACTTATTTTGCTGGTGGCGATATTTTGGGGAGCTCTGGTAGCATAGTGCCTAAGGCACTTAACTGTTAATCAGAAGGCTGGTGGTTCAAACCCACCAGCCACTCCTCGGAAGGAAGGTTGGGTAATCCTTCTTCTGTAGTGATACCTCCTTGGAAACCCAAGGAGGTGTTGCTGTGAGTTTGGGCTGACTCAACGACACATAACAACAACAACAATATTGCTACCTCACACCATGGATTAGCAGCACCATCTTTACTGCTAGAGGCAGAATCATCAGTGCCTTTAAGACTAGTTACGCTTGACAACAAATTTAGAAAACTCATGATTTTGTTTCTCTAGAACTACTCTCAGTACCAAATGTCTTAAGATGAGTTCTCTAGGGAAGCAAATTATGTACATTGCAAAAAAAAAAAAAAAAAAAAAAAATACACACACACACACACAGAGAAAGAGAGGGATTATTTATCTCAAGGAAATTGCTCACACAGTTGTAGAGGCTGTCAAGTCCTAAGTCTGTATGTTAGGTGTCAGGCTGGAGGGTGACCCAAGAAGCTACAGGACCTGACAAATCCAAGATTAGCAAGTACAACAGCAGGCTGATGGCTCACAGATTATGGAGGCTGATGAATCCCAAGAACTGGAGGTCAGATGATGATGAGTCAGGCGCAGGATCCAGAGCAAGCCAGTGAGCTTTGCCAGAATGTCCATATATATACTGCAGGCCATGCCCTGGAGGAATCTCCCCTTACAACTGATTGGCTGATTATATTACATCACATCATGGAAGATAATTACATCATTACATAACTGCATCACTATATAATTGACAAACCACTGGGAATCATGGTTCAGCCAAGTTAACATAAAATCTTAACCAACACAACATTCAGTTTAAGATTTCACTGTGAAATGTCAATACAAAAGCTGCTTTGAGGATGAAAAGGCAACCAATTTTGTACCAAATACTTTTTCATAATGGTAGAAAGAAAACTAGAAATATGCTGACTCCAAGTTGTATCTCTTGTAGCATTTATGTAGGAGCTCTTGACAATATGGTACTTCAGGACTCAAGGAAATCTCAGTGCATTGAAATTCAAAAGTAATTACTGATCTCAAAGTCAGGAGGGGAGGCTGGGAAACAAGGGCTGGGTCAGCTGCCTCTTGGGATTTGGTAATCAAGGAGCATTGATAAATTAAAGGCATTATAACCTCACCACTACCACTTACCACCATGCTGTTATGAGGGGTGATGAGCCAATTTGTTTATTCTACACTTAGCTGGTTTTGCTATGTACAGCCTAGAAATATTGATGAGCAGTAATTTCTACCCTACTGGACATCTGGCGAAAAGGTGAAGACGCATAGCACCTGATCCCTGGATAATAAGTGTAAAGAAAAATCAGCCTGGAAATCTCATCATTGCTGAGTTAGTACCTGGTTGATAAATGGCCTGGGAGATTTGGACTGCCACCAAGGAGATCTACAGGGATGTGGGTCTCCAGAATACTGCAAACTGAAGGAGGTTTGCAGGGGGTACACTGAAGGGTCTAAGTTGTCTTTCTTAGACAGTGGAGGAGAGAAACAAGCTATCACATACAGAACATACAGCTCATTTCAGTTGGACCTGTATTCTAGCAGCTGTGCCCCCTGGTGGTCAGAATGTTGAGCCACCAATCATGTCAAGGATGCTGAGAGAGCATGAAGACAGTGAGATGTCAGTTACCTAGAGACACATGAAAATACCCCTTCTCTGCCCCAATATTACCCCCAATATTTTCCTATTACTCCATGTGACATGGAAAAATATGGCCATAGAATGGATTGATTTGGAAACCGTAGAATCAAGAATCAAACCTAGATTGTCTGAGGTCAGAGTCTCAATTTTAACTGATGCTGGGCACCAAGCCCAATGTTTTTGTGCACAGATTCCTCACCTGTGAAATGGGAATAATCATAGTATCAGCTTCATAATATTATTTTGGTGATTAAATGTGTTAAAGTTTCAAAACACTGAGCAGAATGCCTAGAACACTGTAAGTGCCAAATCCGTGCCAACAAAGGTGATCACAAGTAATGAAGATGGAACAGGTCGGCTCTTGGACAAGAGGCTGGATTGGAAACTTATTTTCTGAGTGGGGGTTATCTGAATGCCTTTAGCCCCTCATCTCTTGGTGTCATGTGGGATCACATACTGGGTGCAAAGAAAGGAGAGAATGCATTAAAACCTCTACATTGAATTTCCCTCTGGGCTAAAAAAAGAGAAAAAATCCAACTCTGGAGAAACACAGCTCATCCATGATTTTTTAAGGTTTGTGCAATAAATACAAGAAACCTCATGGGTGGCTCTCCTATTCCTTATCGTGCCCATGAAAGTGGAGTTTAGAGGTGTGTGTGTTAGGAGATTTGCCTGGAAGAATGCTTTCTCAAATTGTCAGTGACATTTTCTGAGAGGTATAAACCATTCCTTTCCCAGAAATTTTAGGAGGCTGTGTTGCACATATGAAAACCCAGACATTGGGCTCAGACTCAATATGTGTAGATTCTCCACCTATCAGCTGTGAGATTTGGGCAAGTTCCTCAGGTTCTCTAAACCCTCAGATGACTCCTCTGTAAAATGAGGATGATCATACCTTGCCCTTGCAGATGCTGTCGGAGAGAGATGCCCTTAAAAGGAGTGGGACATAGAAATGCCCTGAGTTCTCTCTATGGTGCTTGCAGTTTGTGGAGCTGGAACCCAGGGCTGCTCTAACTTTGTTGTTGTTGTTGTTAGGTGCTTTCAAGTTGGCCCCGACTCATAGCAACTCCTCCTTGGGTTTCCAAGGCGGTATCACTACGGAAGTAGATTGCCCAACCTTCCTTCCGAGGAGTGGCTGGTGGGTTTGAACTGCCAGTCTTCTGGTTAGCAGTCAAATGCTTAGGCACTATGCCACTAGAACTCAGTCCTAAATACCCTTATAGGCTTTGTCTCCTTCATTATTATGTGTAATAACTGACTTTATACTTACTAATGACCTGATGGTGGGCTTTCCTATTTAACTGTCTTAAATGTCTATATTCTTCTCCTTACTCTCCAAGCAGAATAAGCTTTACAGGAGACAAGGACTGGTATCAGTACCTAAAGCACTTGACTGCTAACCAGAAGGCTGGAGGTTCAAACCCACCAGCCACTCCTTGGAAGAAGTTGGGGTGATCTATTTCTGTAGTGATACTGCCTTGGAAACCCAAGGAGGGGTCGCTGTGAGTTGGGTCCGACTCGATGGCACATAACCACCACCACCACCATACTCACTATAGAGCCTATGATTTGGCTGCATGTGTGGGGCTCATTAATGAAGACAGCAGACCAATTAACCAAACTTCTGTGGGCTTCAGCTCTTTCTTGCAACTTCTTTGCATGAGGGACCCTCCCCAAGAAGCTCCGTGAGGACAGAGGGAAACATGCCAGCAGGAGAAGGAACTGATTGCACTCACTTCCACCAGGGATTTTCTGATGACTCGGCTGATGTCCCGCCTCCACTCAGGGATGTCTGGGTTGTAGTCGTCTAGGTTTGGAGAAAAGGACAGGCGAAGGGACCGGAATTCCTCTGGGGATACAACAGCAAGGGGATTACCATGAGTGCAACAGTTTTTCCAAAAACTCTATCAGGACTCACTCCCAAGGACCCGCTCTCAGCCCAACAGTAGAAAGACTTACATGTAGAACTCTCAACACAGGGCAATGCACCCACCTACTCTATGGAGATACATCCTTTGGTGCAGTTGGCCATGGGGCACCAGAGGGGCAACATTTACATGGAGGAAAAGCTGGACAGACAGGAATGCATGACTAAGAAGGGTATGTGGGCGAGAGGGAGGTCACTGGGAAGGGTGACAAGGAGAGTGGGTTAGGGTTGGGGATGGTAATTGGGGAGGAAAACCAAATGTACATGAACTGTTGAATGTAAAACAAATTCTGCTCTGTAAATTTGCACCAAAGCACAATTAAAAAACAAAACAAAACAAAAAAACCTTATGGAGCAGTTCTACTATATAACAAATGGGATCACCATAAATCAGGGGTTGACTTGACAGTGAGAAATCGTGGAATCCAGATTTCAAGATTCCAAAGAAGTTAAGGTGGCCCACCCAAGATACTGAGATAGTCTCACCTTGGCCATTGCACTCTTTTGAAACAATTATCTATGTGCAGTTTCAAAAGAAAACCCAAAGGTCAGAATAGAACCATGTTTTAGGGTAAATAAATCCTTCCTGATTACAAACTGTTTTATTAGTTCTGTTCTGGCCCTTTTTCTAAACAAATGATAAGATGGAATATAGGAATCTTTGGACATTCCTTCTTCTTTGGAGCACTTTTGACTCCCTAGGCAAAATGTCACCCCAATTTGAAAATTGTATCTTAAATAAACTTCCATCAATACATATTAAACAAACAAACAAACAACTCTATCAGGCTTTTCATGCTATGCAAAACCGTAAAGAAGGATTCCTCTCATTAGCAGTCTCTGGAAAGACTTTCAGAGTACAAATCCACTATGTTGCCCTTGTCATCGCACTAACTCCTTGCTTTCTAGATCAGAACCCTCAGCCTTACTAGGCATTCCAGGCTCTGGGCCAGCATCTACCTTTGCAGCCTCAGCCTTGTTCTTAGTTCTTGACTCTAAGTAATCCAGACCGCCCTGAGGTGGCAGAGAAGTTCCTTGTTTCCCTGGAATGTGCCTGCCTTAAAATCCCTGCTGATTCAGTCACTGGCTGGGAACAGCCCTTGGAAGACACAGCCTTGGCACTAGATTGGTAAGGGCCTCAGAGCACAGTACCTTGGTGAAGCACATTCTCGGTAGCTGGAGGTCTAACATTGTTGTTGTTGTTGTTGTTATTTGCCATCGAGTTGGCCCTGACTCATAGCAACCCCTCCTTGGGTTTCCGAGGCAGTATCATTACAGAAGTAGGAATGCCCAACCTTCCTTCCGGAGGTCTAACATTAGTTGCTGGGAAGTGGATTCTCATCATGGCCCACGTGTCAGAACAGATCTGTGCTCCAGAGAGTATCGAAAGGCTGATTTTTCAGAAGTAGATCACCAGACTTTTCTTCCAAGGTGGCACTGGATAGACTCAAGCCTCCAACTTTTTGGTTAGCAGCTGAGGCATGAACCACTCGCACTACCCAGGGACTTCACTGGAGGTCTGCAAGGTGCATTCTCCTGGCCTCCACACCCCCCGTCCCAGCACAGTGTTTGGCACATGATATTCCCTGATCACTTCACTTCCCTAAAGCCTGCTAGTGGCTCCTCAGCATTTAGAATAAAATCTAGACTCTTAGCACTGCCTTCACAGACCCACAGAACCTGGTGGCGACTGCCTTGCCTTTCTCATGTCCTCCCAGGCTTCCCTGGGCTCTCTCTGCTCCAGGACCCTCCCTTCTCCACGCCCTTTAATAGCGTCATTCTCCCTGCTATCTCAGATCATAGGATGTGGAGCTTCTTCTCATCACTCAGAGGGGCATTTCCAATCACTAACCTCAGGGAGCCTTTCTTCCACCCACCCCAGGCAACTTTCATCAGATGACCCTATTGGTTTCTTCACACTTATCTCTATTTTTAATTATTTTATTTCTGCATGTACCTGGAATATAACAGATTGTAGATCTGTGAGGGCAGAGATGCTGTGTTCCTGGCACTTGGGACAGTACATAGCACATAGTAGGCATTCAATGAGTCTTTGATATTTTTAATGAATGCATGTTTTTTAAATAAATACATGCACAAATTGCACTGGAGACACTCTGAAATTTATGGATTTACTTATTCAACAAACATGTATTTTTTTTTCTTTAAAAACCCACAGTGGAAAGCATGTCCTTGTGTTTCAGAAGGGGCTAAGTGGCATCGGTGATGTCTATTATACATTCTGGAAGCTTGACAGCACACTTGTGCATTCCCTAACAATGCTAGAGTGTTATCAAATGCATGCTCTGACGATTCTTACATTTAAAACATGTGCGTTTGAGGCAGTTACCCTATTCCAAAGACGTATTTTTCAAAGCTTGACTATTTTATGAGTCACTGGCCACCTATGTGAATATCACTGCCTCAGCTCTGATGGAGAATAATGAAATGCATGTTAATTAGTAGTGTGGTAAACAGCAGCACCGTGGAGCCAATCACAGAGCCCTGACTTTTCACTTCGAAGATATGTTCATAGTGTCATTATCATATACCCCACACTTCTGACCAAACAGCTAAGATGCCATCTACAAATAAGGGAAGATGTTTGCCTTGGTAAAAGGGCACAAATGAGAAAAATGATGCTGCTCTCTCCATAATTACCTAACATGCTAAACGCAAGATAGGGAGTGACAGCGTCAGAGAATTGTTGTACTTGTTTACTCCACGAATAGGGAATGCATGTGGGATATGGAAAGGGTAAACACCAATAATATAGGATTTTTTTAATGGCACTTGCTTACAGAGATAATTCTGTAACTTACATATATATATATATTTTTTTTTTAATATTTGTAAGCAAACCTGTGCCCTGAAGCAAATTAGGGAAGAACAATGCAAAGTAAATTTTCTTTCCTGTAGTCATCTGTGGCTTTGGGTAGACAACCCTCTCTCGGCCAACTTCCCACGTACGACATCTCTTCATTCACACCTGTCCTTAATGCTTCCTAATCACATACATGGAGTCCCTGAGTGTTTAAATGGTTAACACACTCAATGCTAAACAAAAGTTTAGTGGCTTAAGTCCACCCAGAGGCTCCCTGAAAGAAAGGCTGGGTGGTCTACTTCCAGAATCTCAGCTTTACAAACTCTGTGGAGTACAGTCCACTCTGACTCTGCCATGACCTGGGCTGACTCAACGGCAACTAGTTTGATATTTGATCACATACACGGAACTCTGAACAACTCATCTGGGAAGACAAACTAAAGATGGTTAATGGTTGAGAAATTTTGCTGGAGTGTGTATGTGGGGAGTTGCTTCCTTCCTCAAGCTATTTAATGAAGGGAAAGGTGATAGCCTGTTTGAGGAAGGGTGATCCACCCTTTGAAAAGCCCTCTAAAGAGACTGTATGATGTGGAAAGTGATTGGGACCATCCCCTCTGGATCTAAAATTCTTAAGCTCTGTTTGTTTAATAGCCATACTTTGTATTTCTCATCTGTAAAACAGGGATGATTATAGACTATTTCTCATACATCTGTTTAGAGGATTTAATAAAGAGATCATGTATGTCAAGTGCTTAGAAAAGGGCTGGATCAATGTTAATTACTACCACCCTCCCACTCCCACTATTATTATTAGATCTGTCACTACACAGCAGAATGGTTTTAAACTTGTAATTTCTTATTTTGACCATAGTCTCTTTTCTGTAAAATGATAGGGCTAGGACAGATAAGGCCAAAGATCTTCCAGGTTTAAGATTCTCTCTGAAATTCTAATAAGGAGTTTGCCAATATGATTACTGAAGTGGACATCTATGGGGCTAATGGGTCAATGCCCACTAACACTGCCAGTGAGGCCCATGAGAGGAGGGAAGGAGAACACCAGAGAGAAAAGAACTGAGATCCAATTAAGCAGGGAACTTTTAGGGCACGGGCTCTGGCTAGATGGGTTGGGTGGAAGCCTAGCTTCACAACTTACTAGCTGAGGGAACATCTTTACTTACTTCTATGAATTATGGGGGTAAAATGATAGTATTTATCATATACCTTATACAGCAGTGGCTGGAGGACTGAAAACATTCCTAGTGCATAAAAAGGAGATAGAGAAGGAGAGAGCAACAGAAGCTCTCCCCATTGCACACAATCGCTGATTGGGCTAATGGCCAGCAGGCCTCCTCCCTGAAGGGCCCTTGTTAGGAAAACCATAGCCTTATTTACCTACACTCACTATTTGTGGCCAATAAAGCCTTTACAGGAGGCTAAAGGAAAGATTATGAAATCTAATATGTAGCCACGTAAGGAATTGTGTGTGTCCCTGAGGTCTTTTGACTCTGACATGTCCAAATTGTCTCACCAACCATTTTCTGAATTTGAAGGTCAAGTTGGCAAGATGAGAAATGAAAAGCAGGATGGACTTCCCCATAGAAAAGTATAGTCCTAAAGCATTCCATCAGGATCAATGCACTCTGGAACTGAGGCAATTAATATCATTTGGACAACAAGCCAGTTTGTCTGTCTGTCTTTACTTCTCTTTCACTCTCTCTCTCCACAGTATTTACTTTCCCTGTAATTCACTTTTAAATTCTTTTCTGATTTTTAAATTTTAATCTTTTACAATGTATATGTGGTATTTCTGTGTTAATGATAAAAGTTAATGATAAAAGTTCACAATTTTTATGTACTTGGTACATATCCATCTGAATATTTTTCTATGCATAAAAATATTATCAAAACAAGATCAATCTGAATAAACTGTTTTCTATTCTCCCATTTTCCCGTCAGTGATTACTAGCTTTTTATTTCAATTAATTTTCATTCCATTTAATACTCTGACCATATTCAGATTTCCCCAATTGACGACAAAATGATCTGTATAGCCGTTTGCTCAAACCAATATCCAAACCTGTCCATTACTTTTAATTTAGCAGTTTGATTTTTTCAAATAATATTCACTTTCAGGAGAGATTTTTAGTGTATTTAGACATCTGTATGTTCCTCTTAAGAATCAAGAATTTCAAAATTGTATTAGAAAAAATCTTCAACATTAACTGTCTGCTATCATAACAGATTTTAGCTGTTCAGATACTACTACTACTACTACTCCAAATGGAGTTAGTTAGCTTTATACTTAATGGAACCCTCTCTATGCTACCAAGGTGAGTGAGCAAAAACTTGTTCTCTGTGCACCACAGCCAACTAAAGGAATCAAAATAATAAATACCTTCAGGGTCTATGTCCACAGCAGACAAACTTTTTGCTGATGGAACACATCTTCATTAAAGGAGAAGACCACACTTTACCCAGTTCTTTCTCAACCATGGTCCACTATTTCCTAGGTAAAAGCTATAGGCTGGATAGCTTCCAGGACCCTGGTCCTCAGCAACCTCATTGGAGCACAAAGGCACTGACGAATCAGCAAGGAGTGGTACTCACCATACACCGCAATGGTCTTCGTGTCCTGCAGGATGGCATTCCCAGCAGAGACCTGCACTGTGATGGTGTTCATCCCTTCAGAGAGAAACTTAACTGATATGCTTCCCTCCAAGGTGATCAGGGGCTAAAACAAACACGGCACAGATGGAAGGAAAGGTTGTTTAGTTACAGATGAGACAGCAGCAACTCTGAGCCCCCACAAGCTGTTATCGCAGCAGGGGCTCTTCCTGGTATACTCCAGCGGAAGTGACTCCATCCATGCTTCCCTCATCTCAAGTCCAGTCCAGAAAGGAAGCCACTGGAGCAATGTACCCGAGGAATACTGCACATTCCCTGTGAATTTGACACCTCTCTTGTGGTGACTCAGTGATCAGGAGATGGATAAGATTGATAGATCTTGTTAACTGCTGGAATCTATGTCTCCCTTTATGGATATCTTACACGTATCACAAAGATCTCTAAATCCAAGGAGATGCTAAGGTAAGACCAGAACAGGGCACTCATATTAATCCATATTTAAGTAGCCATCACTGAAAATCTATAAACTGCCCGTTGTTCACCTCTGAAGTGTACTATTTATATAAAATGACAATGGAACACAGCAACCATGGAGACCAAAACTACATGAGTTAGATAGCAGTGACCTTGTGTGCCTTGACTTCCTCTGAAAAGCTCGTATCAGCAGTTTCCTAGAGATAGCTGCTATGGAAACAAGTACTAATTGGACAGTGGTTTAGAGACTCAAAAAAAAAAAAAAAAAAGACTTGGAGTCATGTCTGTAATATAATCGGACACCAGGGTCCTAGAGGAAAAGATTATTAGCCTACTGACCTCCCTTGACTCACACCACCAAACATTTCTTTCTGGTCTTTTCTTAATTAATTGTAAAATCAAAATTCATTTAACTGCCTGTATAGTGGAGGGAAGACCAGCGCTCAGCATAAGAAGTCTATTCATTATAGTCCAGCCGAGAACTGGGTTTTCTTTTTAAAAAGAAAAATAAAAAATAAGTAAATAAATGAAAAGAAACACAGAAGAAACTTGTTTAGTACTTCCACCATCCAGCACTAGTTATCTGGTAATCACACACATTCCTCCTTTTCCACTGTGAGTGGAGGACCCATTTGGGGCCAAATTTACTTGTGTAATTTAAGAAGAAAGTTTTTTAAAAGGGCTCCTTTTTCACTTAGTTATAGTAGCAGCAGAATTGAGAGATTCCTTCCACTGTCAGTCTGGTAGCGGGTCTAGATTCAGTAGACTTGGGTCTGTGCAAAATTATGTCTCCAGGTAGAACCAAAATTCAGCCCTGGGGTAGGGAAGACTTCTATTAAAATAAGATGCATTGCATTCAAAGAGCAAAGTCACCAAGTGAAAGCAACTCTACTGGAAGAAGACCAAACTTTCCCATCTGACCTACAGCAGTTCATGCCTTCGCCCTTCAGGTTGGGATACGTTTGGGCCTAATATCACTGCCTAACATATGTGTGCAAGCATTTTAATTTCTGAGAGAGGAGTGAGCTCAAAACTGAAACAGTGGGTTCAGCCTGGTGTGATGGGAAGAATAGTTAATGGAAGTGTCAGAAGGCCTGAAAGTCGGCCTCTGTACGAAGCAGCTGAATGAGATTGGAGAGAGCCACCTCATTTGCCTCATTCTCACTTTTGTCATCTGCACAAGGAAGGTCTTAGAACAAATAAGGCTACACATTTCTACAAGCTTTACAATTGCTGCTGACTTTTGATGAATTTTGGGAAAACATAAAGGGTACAATTGGCCTAAAGAAATGGTCATGTCTGATTTATCATGAAACCACTGGGGGCGGGGTATACTGGAAATATGTTTATTTTGCCCCTCCAGCATCCTTTGCTCTATTTTTCTTTTTTTGGAACCACTTCTCACATTCTTTCTGTCCATGTGGCTCCAAGGAAGCTGACTCCAAACTCTCCCTTTCTGTCTGGCCTATAAGACTCATTTCTAAGATTTCTGTTAGAACTTTTAGAGAGCTGCTTTCTTTGCTGAGCTGTGAAAGTTGGGCTGCTAAGGGCCAAGGCAACAATATCAACAAAATGTCTAAACTGAGAAGAATGCTAACACAAATAGAGGATGGTAGAGATAAGATGGAAAGGGTGAAGAGAAATAAAGAGACAGAAAAAGACAGAGAGAGAGAGAGCTTAAGCTTGGACAAACTGATGAAGCAATTTGAGTCTTGAGTTCCTGCTGTCCCTGAGGCTAGAACTACCCCTAGACTCTCTTGAGGTACATGAGCCAACGCATGCTCTTCTTGGATTAATCAAGGTTGAGTTAAGCTTTTGTCACTAGACCACACACAGAAGGCCAACCCACCTCCGTGTTGTTTCCTTTCCACCACACATAAGTGAGGGTTCCCACTTGGCTGGGCCATAGCACTGCAGTTGCGTTGACCTCTTTGTTCTTTGTGGTGACAAAAGGAAGAGACAGGTGCACGTGCTCCAGGGGACCTGAGGCACAAGAGAAAGAGGGGCCATAGAGAAGGAAGGGCTTGCTCTGCTTTCCTGCTCTGTGCTGGAGAGAACATATATTCACCCTTGAAGTCTCCAAAACACTGCCGCTGTATCCTTGCTCAAGTGCTCTCCCTACTTTGGAGAAAAGAATAAATAGGGTAGAACTGCATCTTGACATTTACCATTAAGAAATCTTAACTACCAGTCTGAAACTTGAGTTATTCAAATGGAAAAGTTAAAAAATTTACATCTAAGGTATGAGGTCTTTGACTGAACAGGCATACAACTAGGTTTTTCAGGGAGACTCAAAATCTTTCTAAGAGATTATTCCTTGGTAAATCAGCATGGTGGGAACCTCATAGAATCCTTGTTCGAAGAGAAAATAAATCCTCAAACCATTCTACACATAATTCTTCTTTAGTATTTATTGGGTTTTGAATAAAACCCAATGTGAGTATATGTAGATTTGTGTGCAAGTTTGTTTTTACATATAAGTGTGTGTAAAGCCAGCTAATTAGGTAAGCAAGAAACAAACTCTGGTGTCGAGCTAAGCTTGTCCTGGACAAAGCTAGTCACGAGTGGGTGAGAGAGCTATGGTTATGATGTTTGCAGGACGTGCTCAACTGAAAGGATGCTTCTAACTATGGAGGTTCATACAAACCTTAAACTTTAACCGGATGGACAAGCTCCACAATGACATAAATGCTACGTTTATAGCATTTATATAAATATGAAATATGAATAACCATTAAAAAGTTTGAAGCCTCTGTCCACGTCTTAACAAATTTTTGATCCAAATGTATAGCTGTCACTATTATAATTAAACAATTGTTGATGTTGTTATGTGCCATCGAGTTGGACCCAACTCACAGTGACCCCTCCTTGGGTTTCCCAGGCTATAGTATCACTACGGAAGTAGATTGCCCAACTTTCCTTCCAAGGAGTGGCTGGTGGGTTTGAACTGCCAGCCTTCTGGTTAGCAGCCAAGTGCCTTAGGCACTAGGCTACCAGAGCTCCTAATTGATGAGAATCTTAATTTTGAATAAGTAATTAACATATCATGGCTTTCTAGAAAAATCACTTTCACAGTGATGTGGAGGACGGATCACAGTGGCAAAAGATTAGAACTACAAGGGCCTTTACTAGGACATCATATTGTTCTCTGAGGCTCTGTTTCCAGTCAATTTCAGCTGTATATGAGGTGAACACCATGCAAATCTATCAACACCATGTTCCAGAAGTTAGAGAAGACTGCTTCCTCAGGCCTTTCCATCTTGCAATTAATACTGCCTCTTTTTTCTGATTATCCTTTAAATATGGTTCCCAGGGACCTGTCTTTAGCTTTTTTTCCCCCTCTATCTACTCTTCTCCGGGCCAATATCATCACACGTGAACATCAACTATAGCATGACGTCAAAGACTTCTGATTCACCTTTGTGGCTCCGGACTCAACTGGTGGGATTGGATCCTTGACTCTCCTCACTCCATATTCTCTGTATCTCAGTGAATCACACCAATACTCATCCAGGGGCCCAATCCAGAATTAGAAAGTCAATGAGAGTCTGATGTGGTTCAAAAATCTCTCTCAATTAGAGCTATTTCGTGCCCTCCCCAATCCAGAACCCTTGCTCCTTTACTTTCACATCTGGACCCTTACAACTCTCTCACAAATGTCCTGCCTCAAACCTTCTGAAACTATAATCCATTGTCCACATCACTTGTGAAAGTGATTTTCCCAGAAAGCCAAGATATGTTACTTACTAATTCAATTAAGATTCCCAGTATTCTTTTGTAATAATGACAGCTAACACATATGGATCTAAAATTTGTAAGGCACAGATAGAGGCTTCAAATTTTTTAATGGTTACTTATATCTCATATTTATCTTTATATAAAAATACATCTAGTTCCTGGACTGTAGCTCATGGCAAATGAACAAATGCTGCAAAGTCCTGCTTCTGGGTCTGCTCAGGCTGCTCTCTCTTTAGAGAAGAGGCCTGGTGATCAGCACGCAGAACAGAATTGATTTTCTGGCTTGTAAGCCATATGTTAGGAAGCAGTTGCTTATGTTGAACGGTTTCATAAAATAATAAGGCTAATAAGGGTAACATGAACTGAGTGACAGCGATATGCTACGTATTCTGCAAGGATTCTATTTTTTTTTTCTTTTTTCTCATAACAATTTTATGAAGCTGGTACTACTACCATTTCTATTTAGGGATGAAAAAAGATGACAAACCCAAGGTCACACAGCCAAGAAACATCAATTCCAGGTCTGAACCCAAGCCGTTGGATTCCAGAGCCCCTGTTCTACCCAGCACATGTCCGATAAGACTTTTTCCCTCTCATTCTAACAAAAGATCTCTCAAGAGTCACCACTTATTGATTACTTAAGTATGGCCCAGGCATTGGGGAAAGCATCTAACACTGTTCTAATGTATTACAGGGCTCTCACTGTTCCCACAGGAAACGTTTTGCCGCCACCCCCTCCCCCAGGCCATGCCTTGCCCTGTGACTTGACTTACACACTTTTCTTACATGCACACCTACCAGTCTTCAAGTCTCACTTCTAGGGCCCCCTCCTCTGAGATGTTCTCCTGGACTCCCTAACTTGAGTCAAGTGAGTAAGTGAACATCCAAGAACCAGACAAGGTCTGTGAGAAACACCGTTGTTGTTGTTGTTTGCCATCGAGTCAAAGCCGACTCATAGCAACCCCTTCCTGGGTTTCCGAGGAGGTATCATTATGGAAGTAGATTGCCCAACCTTCCTTCCAAGGAGTGGCTGGTGGATTTGAACCATCAGCCTTCTCATTAGAAACACTACCTCTATTCCAAAGGGGCTGATTTTCATTTGTCTCTCCCACAAACGAGGATTTCCTTTTTTTTTTTTTTTAAGTCAGAACATCAAAGTAAGGACAATGACTATGCATTTGATAACTTTACAAAAATTGACTCATGTTAGTGAAATATGGCTACTCAATCAACTCATTGTTTTCTTAGTGCTACTATCTATGTGCCAGGCATCGTACAGTCAGTGGAAAGACCTGGAGGATGACTTGTGCTCACCGTGTTTGAGGACATCAAGACAGCCAGAACGGCTGCAATAGAGAGATGCAGGTAAAGAGTGGGAGCAAATGAGATCTAAGAGGAAGCCAGTACCCAAAGCAGGTCAGCCTTATAGCATATGTGTGTTTGCATGAGTTCATTCTTGCATGTGTATATAGTATTTTTTTAAAAAAACCTATTGCCATTGAGTTGTGATTCATGGCAACTCCATGTACTTCAGAGTAGAAGTGTGCTCAGTGGCTATAATCTTATGGAAATAAATAAGGAGCCAAGTATCCTCCCATAACACCACTGAGTGATTCAAATCACCAACCTTTCAGTTAGTGGCTGAACGCAAACACCCAGGGTCCTTGTATGTGCGTTAGACTTGCGTGTGTGTGTGTGTGTGTGTGTGTGTGAAATTTATTTTTGATATTTCCACAAACTCTTGTATTCATTCATTTTTATAGGTTTGATACAACTGACTCCTGCTGCTCAAAGCCTAACTTTTAAGCATCTCTGCTGTGCACAGAGGGTGCCGTCTGTCCTAACAGAGCTGGTTGGATGCACTGAGGAAGCTGTACAGGCTGGCAGATGCTGCACTCATACAGGTGCCTGTGGTGCACAAAACAGACAGTAGGTGGCACTGCCTCACTTCATATGAATCTTCCTGTGGTGGTGAAATGCGGAATTATTTGTGTGAATTGGGTTTCCCTCTGTCTTCCCCTTTAGGCCTCCTCTGATGGAGAAAATAGCTGACTTTTGTAAGACTAAATATTGTGTGCGTGTCTGTGTCTGCACTGCTCACCGTGGTCTTCCTCTAGCATTTAAGTTCTGGAGTCCTCCTCTGACTGCCCAAATTAAATACTGTATATGTATCATGTCACTCTTTGTCTACAATGCTCATAAAAAGCCACTAGGATATGTGCCTAGGTGGGTTTGAACCACCAGCCTTCTGGTTAGCAGTCAAAGATGAGATCCTTAAACAGGGTCATAGTAATCTGTTCAAAGCAGATGAGGGGACCCACTTAGAGGAATTTGAATGCAGCAGGTGTGGAATGGGGTCCAGGACATTGCATTTGCATTGTGTAATTCTGGGGCAGGTGGCTTATTAATCACAACTGAAAAAACCTGGATGGATTTTGGTAATCAATACAATGATATGTGAGTAACTGCAAAACTATGTGGATTCCAAGCTGATCGCTTTACCCTAAAACAAAAGACAAGAAAACCTCTGCAAATGGATGTTTATCACCAATTGTGTGCAGCTGCATTCAACTGCATACTCTGAGAAGAGGGTTTTGGGAGGGGCAGTGATATCCACGTCATCTTCTTTCTCTTCTTATTCTGCAAGTTTGCACAGGCTTAAGCGGTTTTTATCCCTGCAAGGCTGGCTGAGACAGGGCAGCTTTTGGAGCAGAAAGCCGCATGCCCTCTAAATCGTCAGTCCCATCAGGCTGAAGGCAGCACTGGCTGCACCACGTGTCTCATTAGTGTGCAAACCAGCAGTGCACAGTCAATACTCTCCCCAAGGAATTCCCAGCTGTCAGGCTACAACACATAGCTGGTGCGAGTTGCTGGCCCTTCCTGGAAACATTACAGCAGGTATACTGTCTCCATTTACTTCTGATGACCTTTGCAAACCCATGTGAAAGAACTGGATTTGGAGCCAAATGACCTTTGTGCACTGGGGAGTGGAGGGAGTGTGTAAAGCGTGGGCTGTGGACTTTCTGAGAGAGCTCAGGGAAGGGGGTCACTGCGTGGGGCAGAGGACCAGAGGGTAGCATTGGGAAGCTGAGCTAACAGTTGCTGCTAATTTTGTCTAGCTTAGGATGCACTGAGTCCAAATGCATCTGCTACTTTGAGATATTGGGCAAATCCAGCTTTCCCAGTTGACAGTTGCCTGATGGGATCTCTGAGAACAAGATGAGCCTGCCTCATTTACAGAGGTGAAAATCTAGGCTCCAAGAGATGGAGTGATTGAGTGAGGGGTTAGGGCCCGCTTCTGGACCTAACCAGATCACCCAACTAATCCAGAGCTTGCTTTTTGCTTTCTTTCTTTTTTTTTTTTTTGTACAAAGCCATTTTTCCTTCTCTTATATCCTGACTTTTTGTACCAGAAGTTACTCCTGACAGCTCTGAGGTTTAAGGTGGATGGAAGTGTGATTCTATTTGTCTTCTTCTAACTCACACTGAGTATAAAATGGTGGCAAAGTCATAGCACTTCTCTTACTTTTGTTTTCTCCATCTGAAAGAAAAGGCTGATTAAAGAAAGGGCTATTATGGTAGAGAGGTTTGTTGCTGTTGTTGTTATATGCCCTTGAGTCAATCCCAACTCATAGTGACTCCTCCTTGGGTTTCCGAGGCAGTATCACTATGGAAGTAGATTGCCCAACCTTCCTTCTGAGGAGTGGCTGGTGGGTTTGAACTGCCAGCCTTCTGGTTAGCAGTCAAGTGCCTTAGGCACTGTGCTACCGATGAGCAGATAATTTCATGTACACAGTAAAGAACAATAGTCCTTTAGAAGAAAGGGGCTAAAAAACAGAACCTGCTGAAGCTGCTTCTTACAAATTGAAGTTTGGATGTATGTGAGTTAATAAACAGCTTAAAACATAATCTTGCTTTACTATTAAAAGAAAAAAAAAAAAAAACACCACCTCACTGCCATCGAGTCAAGTCCGACTCATAGAAACTTCCTCTGGGTTTCCAAGGTGGTAAATCTTTATGGAAGTAGATTGCCCAGTCTTCCCTCTATGAAGTGGCTCATGGGTTTGAACCACCAACCTTTTGGGGAGCAGTCAAATCAATGCCTTAGGCACTGTGCCACCAGAGCTCCTTTAATTTACTACAGTTAGTACAAAAAAGTTAAATTTTGTTCCCAAGGCCAGGCTAGAAAGGGACCCCATTATATGAGACCTGCTTATCCAACCACTCAACCCAAGATGAGTCTACAAAATTAAAATTAGAACACAAAAGTTACAAGTATAGAAATTCTAAATCATCTTCCACTGTGGTTAAGGTTAAGGTCAAATCATTTACCCACTCAACTATTCTAATGTAATTAAAACACTGAAGTCAACAAAGCCGAAGCATCTCTTTTCTTTTAGAAGTCGTGGCTTCAGTAGCCCTTAGCTCTGAGCACAGGCAAACCCTGCATTGCTTTCCTTCTCAGGATTTAGTAAACCTGGGAGGAGTCTGGGGAGATGGAACCCCTCAAGTGATATGATTACATTTAGGGGTGAAAAAAACTTCACAGAACAACTAGAAAGAAAAATACAGAGGACTCAATGAGAGGCCCTGAGAAATGTTACTGAATTTGGAATCTGTATTTACACATGATTGGAGTATGGCAGCTGTTTAATGACCTTGAGTGATGGAACACTATTACTGTAACTCTTAGGGAAGGTCATTCTCTAAAAATCCTCTTATAGAGAAAGGTAGGGGGAAGGAAAGGGGCAGCCATTCTCAGCAAACATTTCATCTTTTATGTTGGAAATAATTATTATAATTAATAATTAAAACTTACAATGTACTTAAAAAAACTTAAGTTTTTTCCTATAATATTAATACTTTCACTCCCCTGAACACAGATATACAGGGTGGTATTATGTCTTCAAAGGAGTTCTGGTGGTGTAGTGGTTAAGGCATTTGGTTGCCAACCAAAAGACTGGTGGTTCAAATCTACCAACTACTCTGTGGAAGAAAGATGAGACAGTCTGCTTCCCTAAAGATTTATAGCTTTGGAAACCCAACAGGGATGAGTCAGATTTGTCTCAATGGCAGCGAGTTGTGGTTTTTTTTTTTTTTTGTATTATGTCTTCATAGCAATTCTGCAAGACAGAGCAGAACTGCCTCATAGGGTTTCCAAGGCTGTAAATCTTTATGAAGGCAAATTGCCTTGTCTGTCTCCTGTGGAGTTGCTGGTACGTTTGAACCACCAACCTTTTGGTTAGCAGCCCAATGCTTAACCACTGCACCGTCATGGCTCTTTATGAGGTCACTATTAGTTGGAATAAATTTTATGAATATGACTTTTATTATGTCTTAGTAAAAGACAACTCCAGAAAGTCTGTGTAGGATGGACTTAGGGGTTATAGTTAACTATAAAAGGGCTTATGAAAAGTGTCTTGAACCTATGTTGTTAAATAGCAAATTCATGGCTTCTAACCTAAATATTCATGTCCATTTGCAATTATCAGCAATAACACAAATGGGGAGTAGGGCTGATGAAGATTTAATTGCTCCAACCCCAAGCCAGATGCGGCACTGACTAACTCTAGTCAGTCACCAAAAGCTGGAATTCCTCAGACAGGTAGACCTGACTCTGAAACATGGCCGTGCAGTGCGTATGGCTGTACCTCCAAATGAGCTGTGTGAGCTCTCTGCACCACAGTTCTGTGTAAAGTAGAGTTTCCAGTGGTAACTACTTCACAGGGTTGGTTAAAGGACTGAGATCTTATTTAGCCAGGAACAGAGTAATAGCTTCATGAACTTTAGCTGAGAAGGGGGAGCTGGCACACCGGGAACCATGTGTGATCTTATTTACATCTGATGGGGGTTAGTGTTTCTTTGAAGCAGCACCTCTGTCATGAGTGTCACAGGAGATACAAGATCAAGAATTACTGACATAGCGGCAATCCTCAGCAATCAGTATCTTGGGGACCCCTAAGGAATCTCGTCCTCCCACTGTCACCAGAGCATTTTTTTTTTTTTTAAAGAAAAAGAGTTTAGCTGTTGCTTTGTCTGCTCAGTTTGTCCAGATGAGCAAAGTACAGTGAAAGACATGGCACAATGTCTGGTTTTAATTCTTTGGACCTAGACTTTGAAATTAACTTGAACAAGACCATTCATACAAAAGAACTGCTTTCATTTTAAAGTAACCTATTTCTCTAGAAATCAAAATACCTCCTATGACTGTTTTGGGGACACCCACACACCTAACATAAGAGGCATTTATGGCACAAATTTTCATCAAACATCATTATCTCATCATTGTTGTTGTTACAACAACAATGATGAGATAATGATGTCACAACTCTGGATTTCCTAATGGGAAAAAGTTAAAGCATTTCTTGGAAATGTTTCTCATGCTACCTCCCTCCCCAATACCACACCATCTATAAGCTAGAAGCACAGGAAACACATTTAAACAAATAAAAAAGAAAAGCACAAATCTAAAAAAATTAGTAATAGTGAGGAATAACATGGGAAGATAAAAATAACTAGATGGAGGAAAAATTAATTTACTTATGTTAATTCTGAATGTATTACATGGAGCTGGAACTATGGATCATTTTCAACTATTTCTGACCTTTTTTAAAAAAAAAATAAAGAGAAACTTAACAAAACAGTTCTGAACCTTCTTCAGACTCAGACAGCAGACCCATCTTATAACTTGGAAGCTCCTGAAGGAGGCATAGTTAATGTAACAAAAACAATCTGAAGCAAGTAAGAGACTAAAATCATTCAAATTCCCTTCAATGCCTTTTCTTCTGACTTTCTTCCTACTTTTTCTCTTTTTCTCATATTCTCCTTTTGTTTACAATGAGTTCCTTCTAGACATGAAATTCAGGTTCAATTTTAAAAGGACACGATATTTACGATATGTCATAAACCAACAACAGTAATAACATACAAGTTACATGTAAGTACAGGACGGCGTTGTCAGACCCCAGACTGTTGTCCACCTGCACGGTCACTCGGAAAATGCCCACATTCTGATAGACATGTTTGATGCCATCTTCCATGGAGCTGAGGTTGACGTAAGACACTGCAATGCCATCACCAAAGTCCACTTGGATAAGTGTCCTCTGCACGTCGCCCTGAAAAACACAGCCCGACATCAGAGAGGAGGAAGGGAACACCAGAGGGTTAAGAAGGTGGGCCTTGTTCTGGTCCCAGGAGCAGGACACCAGCAGCCCCGGCAGCTTGATCCAGCTGGAAGCATCGGTCTGTTACACAGAATCCCTGTGACATCCTGTGGCAGCCAGGAGTCTGCTAAGACGGATGCTCTCCAAACTGAAGGGCACTGACTTCCAAAAGTTTCAAGGTTCTGAAAATTAACAGTGTTTGATTATCAGTTGCAATCTAATGTTCAGTTCTTCTGAGGGCTTTGACAATATGTGTATAATAATAGCCATACCAATAAAAGGTATATGTACACAGCTTTTAAAATGTAACCTACCTGAAATGATCAAGGACTGTTTCCAAGATGTTGGACTATATCCAAAATCTTCAGGGCCTCTGAGTCTACATTTATTTTTGTTTTTTTCTTCCTTAACCATGATGGATGAAGGATGGAGACACCTCAACTTATATCTGACATGACTTTGAATTCAGCCCTATTATTATTCAAAGTAATGATGGTTAATTATTTGTTCTTTCTGCATTTGTTATGTACCAAAATGTTATCAAACACCTTATCTTTTATTCTTTTCAGTATCTTAGTCAGGAAAGAAGAACAAGTAATGTTTTCCATTTTACAGATGAGGAAGGCTTAAATGTGTTATCAAGGTTGACACTGCAAGTTACAGGCATTCCTGATATTGTAACCCCATTTCTCTGGGCTTTCCACTCACTTATTTTAGGTGGAACTCAATGCTCTGGGCCAAGATGCAAAAGCTCCCCCAGTGCACCATTAAGAAACGGGTGACTTTACACGAGCCTTTACACTTCTCTTGGTCTCTCTTGGTCTCAGTTATGTAATCTATGAAATGGACAGAAGAGTATCTTAGTGTCGTAATTCCATGGGTTGTGATAAAAGAAATCTAAGTGATTGTTAATCTATAAAATGCACACTAACATAAATAACTCCAAAATGCATCTGTAAAAGACCTATAATTCTCCTTGCAAAGCTAGATTGGAATCATACGATTCTAAATTTTTCCACGGATAGACAAAAACCATAACTAAACCCCTGCAGTTGAGTGGATTCCGACTCATAGCAACCTTGTGTGTTAGAGTGGAACTGCTCCTACGGTTTTCATGGCTGTAATCCTTACAGAAACAGACTGCTGGGCCCTTCTTCCATGGTACTACTAGGTAGGTTTGAACCGCCAACCTTTAGGTTAATAGTCGAGTACAAAACCAGGAAACTTTAATGTTGACTTTGTAAAGATCCAGAACTAGAATAATAAAGATTCTCAAGGAACAAATGGCTTAGACTCAATTCACAAAAAACAGATGCCCTCATACAAGGCCTCTATTCTGGGGGTAGGAGTGGAGAGGGACCTTTGAACTAGAAATGTATTTTCAATTAAGTAAGGTTCATATGGTATATTTTTTGAAAAGGCCAAGTTTAAAATGGTGACATTTAAAAGATTAATTCACAGGAGAAGGAAATGCTGTTCAAATCGTATGAATATATGTGACCTGCTCCTCTAATCTATGCTCAGCCAAGCATTATCCATGGGGCACAGGCAACCCACTCATGGTAAGTACATGGGCAAAATTCTCCATTAGTGGAAACAGAAAGTCCATTCAAACTACAGACTACATGTCTGCAAGCTCAGGCAGTGTGTAATTTCTTGAATTCCCCTTCCACTCGTACATATAAACGTTAATCATCCTTGCTGACCTGTCCTTCATTTAGACAACCAAAGTGGACTGACCAATTTTCTCATTTTGTTTTCAATCCATTTCTACTCCCAGGTTTCCTGGCTTTTAAAGAGAGATATTGCTAAGCCAGCTGTACAGGTGGGCATGGGGGAAGAGCCCACTTCTTAATCTACTCACAGATCATTTAACAGTGCCAGCTGGTGAAAGCGAAGTATCAGGGGGTAGCTGGGACTTCCGAGTTAAGCATGGAATAAAACAAGCAATATGGCTTCAACTACAGAGAGAGAAGGAGGGTTCGAGGAAGGGCTGCAAGGAGGGAGGAAGGCAAAGAGGGAGAAAGAAAGCAGTGGGAACAGAGTTGGCATCAGGTAAGCAGGAGCCATCAGTTACATGGGGACAGGAGGGAGATTAAACCTCTGAGAGAGATCAGCTACCTACATGACTGGGGAAAATACAGCTTTAGCCTCTATCAGTTGATTTGATTCTGCCTGCCTTTTCTGTCTGGCATTCATCAGTCTCCTTTTGTGGGCTTGGATTTAGACCTCCTATTGGTAATATGTGGACCACCTCCCAGGTTTTGTCTATCTGTACTTCTGCTGTCTGTCATGCTGACCAAAAACTTCAAATCCACTTCCATCAAGTGAATTCTGACTTATAGCAACCATATAGAACAGAATAAAACTGCCCCATAGGGTGTCCATGGCTGTAAAGCAGACTGTCACATCTTTCTCCCACAGAATGGAGTGGGTTCCAAGCACTGACATTTTGGTTAACAGCTTAGCACTTTAACCACTGTGTTACCAGGGCTCCATTCGGCCTGACAGAATTCCTGATAGAATTCTCCAGTCAGTACTCTATGTACCCCAGGTGAGTGGAGAAAGCAACACACTGTTTGCACTAGCACATCAATAAGGCTTCCATTACACAGACACACCATAACATCAACCGTATCTTGGCTAGATACCATGCTTTTGCCTTCAGGGAGTCTCAGGTGTGTGGTAAGTCTAATGTCTTTATAATGGCACCACTCTGGGATTGGTCTCTCTTTAGCCTCTGCCTCGCTTGGGCCTGCCAACTTAGGCACCAGGAACGTCAACCCATTTCAGAGAATAAAAAACAGAAAAGGAATAGAAAGCCTGAGACCCGGATAACAATTTGATGAGGAATACTGATGAAATAACCTTATTTGCTAGAAGTGAAGAGGATTTCAAGTATTTACTGATGAAAATCAAAGACTACAGCCTTCAGTATGGAATACACTGGAACATTAGAATACAAAAATCCTCACAACTGGACTAATAAGCAACATCACAATAAACAGAGAAAATATTAAAGTTGTCAAGGATTTCATTTTACTTGGATCCACCAGCAATGCCTAATGAAGCAGCAGTTAAGAAATCAAGCAACATATTGCACTGGGCCAGGCTTTGAGGACTAAGGTGTGCTTGACCCAAGCCATGGTATTTTCAATTGCCTCATATGCACGTGAAAGCTGGACAATGAATAAAGAAGACTGAAAAAAAAATTCACACCTTAAATTATGTTATTGCCAAAAATATTGAATATACCATGGATTGTCAGAAGAGCTAACAGATGTGTCTTAGAAGTAGAGCCAGAATGGTCCTAAGAAGTGAGGATCGGGAGACTTGGTCTCACATCCTTTGGACATATTCTCAGCAGGGACTAGTCTCTGGAGAAGGACAACATGCTTGGTAAAGTAGAGGATCAGCAAAAAAGAGGACGACTCTCAACAAGATGGATTGGCACAGTGGCTGCAATTATGGGTTCAAAACAGCAACACTTGTTAGGATGGTGCAGGACTGGGCAGTGTTTTCATCTACTGTACGTGGAGTCATTATGGGTCGATAGCAACTTGATGGCACATAAGAAAGCTTATCCTGCTTTAACTGGTTCTCTGGTCATTCATTCATTCCCCAACAAATTGACTGATATTTATGATGTCTACCCATGTCTTAGGCACTGACTATAAACACACTGGTGAGTAATTACTAACCAAACAAAAACAGATGTAGTTCCAGCTTTCATGAGCTTGCAGACTACTCATGAGGCATATGGGCTTTAATTATAAAACTACACAAATAAATAAGAATTTATGATAGTGGGTGGTATGAAGAGAGATGCAGTTTGCTATTCTTACAGAACAGGGAAAGCGAGAGACCTGGTCTCTGACCAGGAGCTTCGTGGAAGATTTCCCAGAGGAAGCTGTGACTGGATTTCCTCATCTTGCAGTTTGTTCTAACAGCAATTAGGTTGCTATTTAAGGGTTTTAAGCAAGTATGTGGAGGGCAGAGGAAAGATGGCATGATGATATATGTATATATATTTTTTAATTTAGTTTTTTTATTGTGATTTGGGTGAAAATTTACACTTTGTCTCATGACATTGACCACAATTTAGCAATGCAACATCTCCCCTCCCACTTCCTCCCGACAGTTACCTCTTCTCTGTGTCCAGGCATGATGATATTTTTAAAAAAAAAATCACAAAAATCATCACTCTGGCTACAAGATGGAGGATGACCTGAAGGAAGAAGAGGAATTAACCAGACAAAGGTGATAAGACAGTAGGGTGGAGATGGGAGTTCAGGCAGCAGAAACAGAGGTAACTGAATGTACAAATGTCCTGGAGCAGAGATGAGATGGTATAGTCCAGGACAGTAAAGGGTCCCAAACAGTGGTCATAGGAACATGCTATGAAATGAGGCTGGAGAGGAGGAAATCCTTTTGGGTCTTGTGGACCCAGTTCCCGATTTTGTGAGTTTGGTTGTGTGTGTGTGTGTGTGTGTGTGTGTAGGGCAGAGGAAAGATGGTATGATGACATTTTCTAAAAATATTACTCTGGCTACAATATGGAGGATGAATGGGAAGGGAAGCCAATCAGTGGGCCACCAGTGGAGATGGTGGTCGATTGGAACGTAAGTTGCATCAAGAACCTATATGAGCCTTCCTGTCAAAATTAACACCCATGGTTTACAGGTTTGGAAAGATCAAATCAGTGCATCTCAGTCTTTGATTTCAGCGTTTCCTAAAGACTTTTTTTTAAAAAATGCATAAACACCCACCTACTAGGCTTCTGGGGAGAGGGCGCAAAAGGTGCACAGCTGACACTGGACTGTGCCAAAGGTTGAGCGTCTCTGCTTCAAATTGCTGCATGTTAGTTTTTCTTGTGAGTGTATTCATCTGGACATGAATACAGTACAGACAAGCTAATGCTATTCTTATTGCATTTGGCTATGACAGTAAAG